CAGCTTTACTTACATTTCCTGCCTAATATATCATGAAAATCATGGCGCATCCCCTCAACGTGTTGTAAATTAATATTATTATAATACTTTGGTTTTCCCTTGGTGTCCCACGTTAGTTTAGGAGTAGAATAATTGACACTATGTTGAAAGTCATTGACATTCGCAGAATTGGAACCATAAGCAAGTGATATAGCAAATTCAAGTGGCATATGATCAGAATCAACCCGAGCTCCAACTGTAAATACATTGAACAATGGAAACGTATTTGGAAATGACAAAACATAGTCAACAACACTTGTCCCAACCTCTGAAATAAAAGTAAAATTCCCACTACCAGTGTTTTTATAAACCCTACCATTCACAATTCTGAGGCCAGTGCTAATGCAAAAATCCAGAAGTTCACTACCATATTTATTGATTTCATTATCCATCGACTCCCTTAAAGGTGTATCATTACTTTGCTCTAAATCATCTATTGGCAAATACATTGTATTTAGATCAACACTATCACCATAGTTACCAGTTCTACTATTTAAGTCGCCTACAATTATGACATTACAACCAAATTTTGCAGAATATACAATCAGATCTTTTTCTAATTGATCAAAGTATTTTTCATGTGCAAATATTGAACCCTCGGGAGGTCTATACACTGTTGCAAATACAAGTATTGTGTGATCATTGCTTATAATCCTAGACCAAACACAGTATGGATCTTTAGAAATATGCTTAATTTTAAATTGACCTATGTTCTTTTTACGAAAAAACACAGAAATTCCACCGGAGGCTCTTCCATATTTTTTCTTTTTTAGACCACTAACATGTAGTTCCTCATACCCTTCAATCTTAAAATCAAATATGGTACTCACCCAAGTTTCTACCAAACAAACACAGTCAAATGATTTTAAATAATCTACAAAATCATGATCAGCCAACTTTCCTATTAAGCCATTTACATTCCATACTAAAAACTTTAGTTCAGCGTCACTCCCCATGCTATTAAGGCCATGGCCAAATTCCTAGTCATTAACAGTATTTGAATTATTGGACGCAGTAGGAGTTGGCATGGCCACTACAGATACTCTTTTGTGTGTCCCTTGCTGCTTTCGTAGTGAGTCACTGGTTTCCAACGGCTTGATAGTTTCTGTTTCTTCATCATACTTGTACACAGTATTGTCAATTTTAATTTTGTCATAAAGTAGTTTTGCTGATTTGCCTTCTTCCCTGGCCTCCATAACATATTTTCCAAGTTTCCCACGCAGGTTCCTGATTCTGGGGGTATAATCCTCACGTATCCAATATTTCGTACCCTTTAGCACACTGGATGCTCGAAGGACTTTTTCTCGTTGCTTATATCGAAGAAATCTTGCAACTACAGGTTGTGGACGACTACGTACATGAGTAATGCGATGAACTCGCTCAAATTCGATCTCTTCTGCATGCATATCCAATTTTTCCGAAATAAAACTCCGAAGAGCATCTTCTGTCTCCTGCCAATTTTCAAACCCACTTTGAGGGAGCCCATGAAATATGAGATTATTCCGTAACAACTCTGCTTTCGTTTTATCATTTTCAAATTCAACTGTGTAAAGTTTATCACGCAAATACTTAACTTCATCGGTCAAAAGCTGTATTCTTTCACAATTAACTTTCACACCGGATTTCAACTCCCGAACTTCACTAGATAACTGCTGTATTCCATCATCTACCACTTTAATCTGCTGCCTCATGTCTTTTTTGAGATCCCGGATTTCAGCAATAATGTCAACAAGTGTAATACCATCATCTCCACTCGAAAGAGAGGACACAGACTGACGTCCACGCGAGTCATCCCCATTTACGGACTGGGATCCAAATACCTCGGTGATTTTCTTCGATTTTCTTCGGCCGGACTTCTTAGGAACGATATTTAGCGTCGATTTCGTATCCCGACGCTGCCACCACGCCAGTAAAGATACAGACACCGGTGAACGATAAGAAACAGCTTTATTGAAAAGCAACAACAATGCCGGACAAACCCGTCATGCACAGCGCTACTAAAAAGGAGCGCACACAACTACAAATACAAACCGCTGGTGAACTATAAATACTAGCCACTGGCGATGCTAAAATTAAAAAATTGTATTTTCATATGAGGACGGTAGATTTTTATATCAAGTCATTACGAATATACAGTGCACGTTTTTTTTGGAGTAAAATGACATTTATGTCACGTAAATATTGGATTGAAAATACTCAAATTCCACATTTTTGTCAATGTTACCGACTATTTCTCCAGTACTCAAATACTAAATACTAATGTTTAACTTCAAAGTTTATTCTCCCGACT